CATGCAAATTCTAGGAGCTCCGGGTGCAGTGGGTTGAGGGGTGGCTTGCGGAGCTGCATGTTGATTAAGCACCTCCTCCAACCAGGTGACCTGGGGACCTTACTTGGAGACACTTTGGCAGTGAAGGTTGGGAAATCCTAGCTAATGGTTCAGGATCCACCAAGACCAGCGGCGCCCAGAGCACACGGGCCGTGTAAACACACAGGACGTGGTCGGCACACATTTGGTGAAATACTGACTGTAAGGGGGCCACACTTAGCCAGTGCCTGGCGCGTGGGATGTACTCGAGAAACTACAGGCTTTAGCGTCGGTGACCTTGCTGGCTGAAATTTACCGAGGCAGAGACGCTTCGTGTGCGTTCTCCCATGGATGCCTCGGGACGGCCTGGGAGGGGGGTCTGGGAACAGTTGCACTTTACAGGTGGGGAGCCAGGTTTGGAGAAGCCCACGCGAGGGTCACTCGAGCGAGGACCGAGGACCGCCCAACGCTCTAGCCCGCACCCAAGCTGGGGCCGCCCCTGGATGGAGCTGAGTAGCCTAGGATTTGTTTCTCAGTCCCTCAAGTGTCGTGAACAGTGCCTCCCTCGGTGCTCCAGCAGGGCCGTCATGTAAGGGTCTGTTACGATAACAGATGAGGAAATGTTTTGAAAACGGCTGGGCAAGAAAGAGCGGCAGTTTGGAAGCTAACAGTGTTAAAGAATAGTTTCTCGAATGGTTACTGTGTGCTAGGCCCTGGCTGAGAGCTTTTGTTTTATACTCGATGGTCTTGTGTTTGTCCTGTTTTGTCCTGTTTTGTCGTGGTAAAATACACCTAACACAGTTTACCATTGAGCCCGCCGTAAGGACTACGGTTCTGGGGTGTGGGGGACACTCACGAGGTGGCGTTACCACCAGCCGTATGGGTATGGAGCCTGTCCACCACCCCAAAAAGGAACCCCAGACTCCTGGGCTCCCCCGTCCGTTTTCCTTCTCAATGGATGCCCTTATTCTGAGCGTTGTGAATATGGAGCATAGAACAGTTGTCCTTTGGTGTCGGGCCCTTCATTTGGCATAACGTTTTCAAGGTTCGTCTGTGGTGTAGCCTGTATTCCTTCTCATGGCTGAATCGTCCTTCCGTATGGGTATACCACGTGTCGGCCATCCATCCGTCCATGGACGGATATCTGGGTTATGGACATTAGCCATTTTCCTAGGTCTGTCCTGACTGCGTCCATGTTGACATGTAGTATGTTGTCTCGTACTGTTTGTAGCAGACCTGTGAGGGCAGGTACTCTTAGGCGGCATCTGTGACCCAGAGAGGTGAAGTCACTTGCCCAGGGACGCACAGAACGGAGGTGACAGGAGGCAAACCCTTGAAACCAGGGCTTTCTGACCCCAGAGCCCAAGCAGCAGGAAACCAGAATTCTCCTTTGGTTCCCAGGGTCCTGCATCATCCTGCCATGATGGTGCTGTGGATCAGACCTTGTGGGGCCCATTGGAAGCCTTAAGGATTCTTTAAAAAAAAAAAAATGTAGGCTGGGGTCCTCCCCTCTGACCATTGGAGTCCGTGGTTCTCATCCAAGGGCGATTTGGGGCCCCTCCTTCCCAGGGGCCATCCAGCTCTATATCTAGGGGTAATTCCGTGTGTCAACTGGGGGGGGGTGCAGCTGGCATCCAGTGGAGGCCAGGGATGCCGCTAAACATCCCGCAGTGCACAGGACAGCCCCACAGCAAACACGGGTCCAGCCCACAGGTCAGTAGTGCCCAGGCTGAGAACCCCTGCTCTACAATCAGGGCCTGGGTGTCCGTACTTTCTAAACTTCCTGGCTCGTTCTAATGCGCCCCCAGAGCTAAGAGTGCCTCTCGGTCAGTGCACAACGATCACATGGATTCCTTATTACACTGAGCCCTTCCTTGGGTTCAGGAGGTTTGGGGTGGGGCCCATAGCCCTGCGTTTCTGACAAGCTCACGGTGACTCTTGGGGTTCCCAAGACTGGGAACTTGGGGTTCAGGACTGGAGAGGAGGCAAAAGAAAGTACAGGGAGCTGGGCTGGACTCTCGTCATCCTCTCTCTTTAAACTTCTGTTTAAAAAGAGTGTTTTCCTTCAGATAAGGAGAAGGGGTGGGAAATGCAAATGCGGCAGAGGGAGAAAAAGTTGGTTGGTCAAAACCGCAAGGCTTTGCAGGAGAAGCAGTCCGTTGTGTTCACAGCAATGCTCAGTGATTCACAGAGCAGCCGTCCGGGCCAGCTTCCCACCCAGCGCCGAGAGTCACGGCCACGGCCAGGCTCCGGCCCGGCTGGCTGCGAGCCCTTGGCTGGCTTGCCCAGGAGTGATGACTCAGGCTTTCCACCTGCAGAATGGGAGGGATGGCTCTAGCCCCCCATTCCTGGTGGGGGGGGGCACCCATTCCTGGGGCCCGAAGCCCCCAGCTGCCCCCCAGGCTCATCAGAGGCAGATCTTAAAAGTCGGGACCTGCTTTTCCAGGCGATACAACTGGTGTCTTCACTGCTCATAAATCTCCATTTGTGGCAGCTCAATTAGGAAGTCCTACAAAACTCCTATACTGAAAGAAGGGATTAATGACCCAGCCCATGTGGGAGAAATTAGCAGCTTCTGCAGAGAGGCCTTTTGAATGTATGCTCTGAACCGGCAGCCCCTGGGCTCAGCACTGGCTGGCTGGTCCCTGGGCTGAGCCAGGGATGGGGTGAAACCGACAGGGGATCATTGTGAGTCATTGGGTTGCACTTTCAAGGTGAAGTGTCTGGGAGCATCTGGCGGGTCCACCGTAGACTCCTGAAATGTTGCCAGTTGCACGGTTGCTCCTGAAGGAGCGGGTTTCAGGATGGAGGGAGGGGCGTGCTCGCCACCTGGAGGTCCAGGCCGGCCAGGAGGGAAGGGTTAGGTTTGGGCCCCCAGGCCTCATGCGGCTGCTGCCCGCCCCAGCTCCCGGATGGGGAGGTCCTCGGGCCCCTGGCACGGAAAGGGCTGGCCCTCTGCCCGGTTCTTGGGCTTGGGAGGAACGCCAGGAGCTCAGGCTGACTCATAAGGGGAGGGCCGGCCTCGTCAGCCCACGCTGCTAAGGCGAGGCCCGGGCAGATGAGTCCCTCTCGCTGACTGGGATGTGTTTCTCACCCTGTGCAGGGAAGGGGGCTGGAGAGGGTCTTCGTTCTTCCCTGCAGCCTGCGTTCCAGAACAATCAGTGGCCGGCTGCAGTGACTAAGAACCGGGGCCTCTGGAGCTGGACAAACCATCTTCTGAGGCCCAGACCTAAGTTTAACCACACACCCTGACCTGACTTCTCTTAGCTTTAGTTTTCTCCCCAGGCAAATGTGAATAATTTTAATACTTCCTTCCTCAGAAAGTTGCTGTGAGCATATATCATTGTGACTCAACACTCAGCATAGACCTGTTCTGTTTCTTCATCTTTCATTCATTATAGATACAGATGAGGATCTAGATATAGAGAGACTTCCGTGTACGTACATATTAAGATATATTGAGATATATCCATATCTGTGTCCATCCATCCATTCATCCATCCTTCCATTTGTCCACCCATCCACCCACCCACCCACCCACCCATCCACCCACCCACCCATCCACCCATCCATCCATCCATCCATCTGTCCATCCATCCATTCATCCTTCCATCCGTCCATTTGTCCGTCCATCTATCCATTCATCTATCCATTCATCCATCCATCCATCCATCCGTCCATCTGTCCATCCACCCATCCACCCATCCATCCATCCGTCCATCCATCCATCCATCCGTCCATCTGTCCATCCATCCACCCACCCATCCACCCATCCATCCACCCACCCACCCTCCCACCCACCCATCCACCCATCCATCCACCCATCCATCCATCCATCTGTCCATCCATCCATTCATCCTTCCATCTGTCTATTTGTCCGTCCATCTATCCATTCATCTATCCATCCATCCATCAATCCATCCATCCATCTGTCCATCCATCCATTCATCCTTCCATCTGTCCCTTTGTCTGTCCATCTATCCATCCATCTATCCATCCATCCATCCATCCATCCTTCTGTCCATTCATCCCTAGCACCTCCTACTAAATCCAAGAAGACACTGTTCCTGGCCTTGGGCTTACAGCAGTACAGAGCTCCGTCCTGGGGCTTACATTCTAGTGTAGGGAGATTTGAAAGACAGGTGACCCAATAAAACAGGGTCCTGCAAGATAAAGGGGAAGGGGGAGGGGAGAGACACAGACAGACGGGGTGTGTACTGCTGTTTTACCTTCAGGGTGGGAGGATGGAAGGGTAGGGGTAAGGAAGCCTCTCTGAGGAGGGGGCACCTGAGGAGAAACCTGCAAGAAGTGAGGAAGGAAACCACGTAGATCATCAGGAAGAACTTTCCAGAGAGGGAGGGACTAGAAAGTACAAGTGTGCAAAAATAGGAGTTGGGGAGTGTGTTTGAGGGACATTGAGAACATTCTAGAAGCATGGCTAGAACACAGTGAGCAAGGAGGGGGATCCTAGAAAGTGAGGTCAGAGAGGTGATGGGGCAAGGTGATGTTGTTTTGAAGACTGAGTTCAGGATTGCCAGGGAATTGCCAAGCGACTATGTCTGAACTCTGCAGGAACCGGGTCCTAGTGTCAGCCTGCATGGTCCCTTCAAGCGTTTGCTAACATCGGGGGCACAAGGAGAGAGTACTCTCTGGCAAAGGGGTGCTCTCATGAAAAAGTTGACTTGCCCTTTTTTGTGAAATAAAGATCAAATCTCACTTGCCTTTCCTCCCCGTTGGGAGAACAGACACCTGTCCCTTGATTTGTGAAAACAACATGCGTTGTTGGAAGAAGACTAGCCCTAACGACCTAGGGCACGAAGACAGGAACATGTTGTTTCCGGGGTCAGCCGTTGTGGGGGCTGATGGCTCCACGTTTGTGATGACAGCAGGTGACAAAGGTGGGCGGGGCGTGCCGTGAAATCAGCCTCTTTTGAGCAGACTTCTTCTGCCATTGCAATGACTTCTTTTTCCCTCGCCCTCAGCCCAGCGATCCGCCCACGAGCTGCCCATGGTGGAAAGACAGGACATCGACAGCTGCCTGGTCTACGGGGGCCAGCAGATGATCCTCACGGGACAGAACTTCACAGCCGAGTCCAAAGTCGTGTTTACTGAGAAGACCACAGGTCAGGGGGCTTGTTGAGCTCTTTCCTTGTCCTCCAGCACCATATAAAACTCCCGTCTCTTTCTTCCCGACAGCACTGATTTGGGGAATGGGTCCTGTGGGCAGGGTCTTAGTTTCTGCCAGGCCTCCAGCCGTGGATGTCAACACAGTTCACTGTGTTGTGATGTGCCACAGTGTTTCAGCTGCTCCCGGGCTCTCTCGTTGGACGATAACCTTATGACTCTTTTTAAATTTTTAAAAAAAATGTTTATTGTTTAGAGACAGAGAAATAGAGTGTGAGTCAGGGAGGGGCAGAAAGGGAGACCCAGAATCCGAAGCAGGCTCCAGGCTCTGAGCGGTCAGCAGGGAGCCCGACACGGAGCTGGAACTCACGAACTGTGAGATCATGACCTGAGCCAAGTCAGGTGCTTCACTGGCTGAGCCACCCAGGCGCCTTTCTTTTTTTTTTTTTTTTTTTTTTTAACTATTTTTTCACACAGAGAGGCAAGCCTTCTCAACCTTATGCTATTATCAGAAAAGGAGTCCATTCCACAGGGCGAATAAGTTTGCATGCTGTGGCCCTGGATATCCTGGGTTCAGATGCTGACTTTGCTACTTGTTCTGTGATCTCAGGCAAATGATCTCCCCTTCCAGTGCCTTCATCTCCTTTTATATACAACGATAATAACAAGGGTTCTTATTGCCACAGGGTTGTCATGAAGGCTAAAGAGGTTAATACATGTCAAGTAATCATAACAGCTCTAGGTTTATTGTAAGCTATAAACATAAGCTACATGTATTTTTTTTTATTACAAATAGTGCTGCAATGAATCTTTTAATACTTGTAGGACAGTTAATTGGTCTTTGATACGTGAGTGTTTTGTCTGTCTTTGTGCATGTACGGTTTATTCCTAGAGTGGAATTTTGGATAGTTGTTTTGAGAGCTTTAAATACATATTGCTAAATTAACTTCCAGAAATGTACAAATTGAAACTTCCATCAATACTATGCCAGTAATGGTTTCACCCCATCCCAGAAGTGCCATTTTTAAAATTGTTTGTTTATTCTTGAGAGATAGAGACAGAGCATGAGCAGGGGAGAGGCAGAGAGAGGGAGACACAAAATCCGAAGCAGGCTCCAGGCTCTGAGCTGTCAGCACAGAGCCTGACGCGGGGCTCGAACCCACAGACTGTGAGATCGTGACCTGAGCTAAAGTTGGACGCCTAATCAACTGAGCCACCCAGGCGCCCCAGAAGTGCTATTTAAAAAAAAAAAAAGTTTGAGAGAAAGCAGGGGAGAGAGCATGAGTGGAGGTGGGACAGAGAGAGAGGGAGAGAGAGAATCCCAAGCAGGCTCCACACTGTCAGCACAGAGCCCAATGTGGGGCTTGAACTCACGAAGCATGAGATCATGACCTGAGCCGAAACCAAGAGTCGGATGCTTAACCGACTGAGCCACCCAGGTGTCCCGCCATTTTTAAATTTTTTTTAGTTAAAAAATATTTGCTGAATTGGTACTTCTCTTTACTTCACATACTTTGCTATGAGAGGTTTAATATTTTTGTTTTTGCTCACGTGTATTCTTTTTTCCACATATCATCTGTTAATATCTTTTGCCAAGGAGGTCATGGCAAAAAGAGAATGATAAATCTCAAGTTACACAATTATTTGAGAGATATGGATACTAGATCAATTTTTTTCTCTAATGGACACGATTTCACTAAAAGGGGGTGTATTAGTATTTGTTTACCGCCCCGAGGATGATACAGAGACCATCGTAGGCAGGGTTGTCCAGTTGTGAGGACTGTGCACTGCACAAGGGCACCTCTCCTCTGGGGGCTGCTCTTCAAATGGGATGCATCATCAATCTGTGTATTACTAAGACCACTGCTAGCAGGAGGAAGCAGGGGGTCTTGGGGGAGGGGTGTTTTTTCCCAGTTCACATAAAGTCTCCTCTTGGGGTGGGCTGGCTCTGTGACCAGGCATGACATAAATAAGCCTACGGCGGTGGGGGGCTGGAAAGGGCTGGATGGGCTTGGAAGTGGTTTAGAGGGTACGTGGTCGGTCATTGTGGGTTCGAGGGGCAGTGGTGGTGCAGTGAGGGATTAGGGATGCAGACATTTCCACGGATGCTTCGCCTTCTGTCCTATGTTTGTCCAGGACTTTATTCAACTATCTCCTTTTATCGGGCCTGAGGCTGCTTCCCGCTCTGTGCTATTATAAGTGACTCAGCAATGAACATCCTTTATATTCCTTTGGTCAGTTAGGCAAGAGCTCACGCTCCTAAGCCCAAACCCAGCTCCACCATTTTCTAGCTGTGTGACCTTGGGCAGGTTGCTTATCTTCTCTGGGTAACAGTTTCCTCATCTATACGATATGATGACACTCCTGCCTCGTAGGGTAGTTTAAGGATCAAGGATTTCTACATGGTAAGCACTCAGAAAGTGCTCGGCACATAGTAAGTGCTCAATACACATTAACGATCACTATTTGTTACTGTTCTTTCCTAGGGTTAAGGCCTCTGTATGTCGTAGTGGATTCATGGAGGCTCGCACGTTTCTCGGCATCTAGGGGGAGGCTTACTTTTCAGATGGTGGAAGGGTGTGATACTCTCTCCTGCAGGAATTTGCTAGGCTTTTGTAAATCGGAGAGCAAACCAGCATGGCTGGAATGTGTTGCCAAACAGGCAGAGGCCAGCACAAGTTTCCCAGTACCGGGTAGAGACACGGCCTTGGTATGGTCTGCACGTGGGGGAGCTAAGAGGGAGTCACGGAGAGTTCTTCAGCAGGAGAGTGGCCTGAGATGTACATGACCAAGCACACGTTAGCTGCTGCGGGTTTGACACACCTTCCGTGCGAGGCGACTATCCTGCAGGCCTTCCGCTGACTTTTGCAAGAAGCCTGTGGCCTCACAGCACCTTCCTGGCAGAGGGGAAAATGCTGGTAATCTGCAGATGTCTCGTTCTCCATGCCCAGGTCTGCGTGGGGGTGGCTTGGAGGCCGGGTCCTTCCTGGTCCCTTGCAGAGTTGGGAACCAGTCAGCCTGCGTTGTCCGGGGAGTTCACGCACTCGAGATGCTGCTCAGATGCCCCGGTTAAGTGTTTGTTGAGGGAATGAATCGACGGCATTTATTCTGTAGCTTGCTTTCTCTTGGTTTCAAAAGAAGTTTCACAGTGGACCTCGTGGAGGCAAGAAAACTCGGTCTGTTTCACCTTTGAAAAGTTGTGTATGAATAAGGAGAATAATCAGAGCAGCTTCCTGGGATCTTTGTCCACGACCGTCCACGTACTGTCTCGTCTAAGCCGCTGCCTGCGGGAGGCGCTCTGCTAGGCGTGGAGTGAGGGGACTCCCCCACAGATCGTGCCTGGCATGATCCTGATGTCCAGCCTCCCTGGGCCTCCGTTTCCTGCTCTGTAAAATGAGGTACTGATGCTCCCCGCCCCCCGCAGGAGCCCAGTGCGGACACGGTCAGTGCACGCGTAACGTGCACGGAGCGCTTGCCGAACGTTCGCTGTTGTTTTTACGGTCACAGTTCTCCTTGCTCAGCCCATAGACAGCATTGACTGGACGGTGACGAGCACAGGGCCTGAGGTCAGAAGGCCTGGGTTCGAATCCCTGACCTGCATTGAGTGGCTTCGGCATCCTGGATAAGTCACGTCACCTCTCCGAGCCGGCGTTTAACCCTTCCGTAAAATACGGACGACTTCCTTCTCTAGAGAGAAGAAAAGCTGAAATGAGATAGATGGTGGCACACATTAGGCTCTTGGCATAGCTCGTAGCACATGGTAAATGCTCACTGAGTATTAGCTTTTGTTGTTATCATTATATTTAGGCTGTGGAAAGAACAGAGATGAATAAAATTCTATCTCATGGAGCCAAGGGGCATTGAAAGACAACAAAAAGTAGTCATAATGAGCTAGATGCCAGGCCTCTGAGCACTTTATATGTATTAACGAATCTCATTCCTCACGACAGCCCTACCAGATAGCTACCATTGTCCTGATTTTCCTAACGAGGAGCTGAGCCCAGAGAGGTTAAGTGACTCGGGGAAGATCACACAGCTAGTAACATGGCAGGGGTAGGTTCGACCCCAGGCAGCCTGGCTCAAGAGTCTGCCCCCTTGGCCGTTAGCTCTTCTAGTTTGAAGAAGCTGAGAACAAGGTTAATTTGCCTGAAGACCCTTCAGCTGCCTTGAACCACTGACTGGAACCATTTTGTGGTGAGATAGACCCTCGGATTCTGCAGTGGGTCCCGGGCTCGAAAGAATCCGTGCGGAATGCTTTCACGCCTAGCCTAAAGAATCCCGGGTGAAGGCGGCTTCTGGATCAGTGCCAACAGGCCAGCAGGGGTCTTGGGGACGCCCCTGAGCCCCCAGGACGCGGTGGGCCTTCCCTCGTGGGATGTCGGGCTCCTCGGGGCTCTGACAGACAGGGGGCTTGTCGTGCTCTTTTGACCCTAAGTACTTGCCTCCTAGCCCGGGACTGCCTTCTGCAGGGGGACTCCCTGTTGCTCAACTTCGTTTTTCCAAAACTCATCCCGTTCCCATCTCCATGGACAGCTTGGCCGGCAAGGGCGCAGCGGGGCGGGGCGGAGTGGAACAGCTGAAGTTTTCCAAGGAAGGGGAACCCCAGCTGGTTCTCACATTAAGGAAAGGTGACAGCCTCCTGGGCTAATCTTAGCCCCCGCGTTGGGTCATCGGCACCACTAGGTCCAGTGTTCTTTTTATAGCTGTCGACTAAAATGGAATTGGCAGCTTCTACTCCAGCGGGATGACAAATTGGAGACTGTCGGAAAAACAGTAGGAGAGGGGCAGCATGGTGTTTCTTAAGTTAGAAAAGCTTGGTGTTTTGGAAAATGGCATCTTATTTATAGCAGCAGTAATAATAATGATTATGATATTATTTTTATTACTGTTTTTCATTATTTTCATGACTTCCAGGAGCCGGTATGACCTGGCCCTCGCCCATCCCTCTGAATTCAGCTTTTTGGACTCTCTCCTTGTTCACTTGGCTGTAGCTACACCT